CGTTAATAATGTGGATATTAATAATTTTCCAGACTTATTGAGAAAAATAAGTCGTTTGAATTCAAGCAAAGGAATAAATTGAAACAGTCGATTCGTCTGTAGCAATAAATCTTTCAGAGATTGATAAAACATTACAAACAACTTCTCCATCAGTATCTGTAGCGGCTCATCAATTTCTTCAGACCTTGTAAGTGGGCGTCAAATGATTCAATTTTATTCGAATCTACTTTTCTATCTACCAGAAGCAATCAATGTCAGGTAAATGTATCATATTAGAAATAATTGGCGTAAGTCTTTGTCTCATTTCATTTATTTTTTAACTCTCAGTGCATACTTCACGTTACACCATAACAAATTTACTGATATCATTCGAGCATTGCGTCATTTAAGAACACATTCACATGAAAAATTTATCATTAATGTTGATGGATTGATGAAGACTCCTGTTGAGATGAGAACGTTTCAAGAGCTTTCTAAATTTATTGTAAAGAGGTAAAGTCACGTTTTACGTTCAATTTTCTTCGTATTTTTCTTCTTTCTTCTAATACATAAATTTTTCATTCACATTTTTACGTTACCGTTCTCTTCTTTGCATTTAAAATAAACAAAAAAATTATTGTTTGTCAGGTCGATTGAAGGATACATTCAAGATAAATTGGAGCTGTTTCGGAAGAGCATGGTACGAGCGATCATTGAAGATTTATTGGAAATGCATTCAAGAAATTATTTGATGGAATAAGAAACATTATAATCGATTCAAAAAGTGAAAAAGAATTGAGTGCTGATGATTCATCAATTTGCTTTGCTCATCCTATTCAAAACATATCATTCATTTGTTTAGCTGATTGCTTTTTTTGTGAAAATATTAAAAGTCTGAACTTTGGTTTTTAACATCTGAGATGAATGTTCAAAAAATCATAATCTTTCTATCAATATCCAGTTAGGTATTTGGTGTAAATTTTCAGAGTATAAAATAAATTAATGTTTAACACAAAATATTGACGATAGAAAACTGGATGAGTGCAGGAAAATATTTTCATTTAGTAGACACATTTTGATAAATGGTATCCCATAACATACATGTTTTCAGTTCCATGCAGAATATAAAACCATTAAATTGTAATTTAAATTTTTTTTTAATAATTAGAATCGCTAGTAAAATATAAGACTTCAATTAAATATTTATTTATATAAAAAAGGCTGAGATTCTTTTTTTTCTTATATTTCTATTAACCAATTTGAATAAGTCACAAGCAAAAAAGTTTTGCTTCAAGCAAATGAGAATAATAAATATGAATAAAAGCACGATAAATTATAAAAAAAAGGTCTGTAATTTACATCCGGTCAACTTTTCCCCTTTTCAGTTCCATTAACGGACAATAAAATTCAATGAAATACAATTTTCTGTGAATTTAAAAATAATTTCTCAAGTACTTCGAGTGAGTGGTGGAATATTGTTTTTGACTAATTAAATATCCACAGTGCGAAAATTTTGCTATAAAATCTCTTTTAACACTTTTCGACGTCACATAATCGATGAAAACTTTTAGGTGCATAACTGTGTTCACAGTTGTGGTAGGAGCAAACTTGAAATTTTTATATTCACACCGTTTTCACATGTGAATCTATTGCTTTTGTTCAGATTGAAAAATCAGTTTTTCGCATTTTGTGAGAAAACAAAGTAAAATTGGTTATGAAAGGTCACAAAAGAAAAGTTTGTGCCTGAAATTTTACATCATTTTCAAAAAACAGATTTCAAATTGGTTGTGGCATTGCTGAGAAAATCGCAAAATATGCTTTCTGTAAGCAAACAAGCAAGCAAGTTAATCAGCAAGAAATCTCAATAACGAGACATCGTAGAGACTTCTAGTTTTTTACATTTGATCCGTGCTGCTCTATAGAAGAGCTGTATTGTTTTTGGGCAAGGTAGGAACAGCCGTTGCTTCAGAAATAGCAAAAAAATTTCATTTCTTACGAATTTTTTAAAACAAAAGTTGACTGTGATTTTTATAAAATTCAACTTTGGATGAAAATTTTTTAACGTTTACAACATAAAGAATTCAGAAGAAAATTAATTTCAGAAAATAGTAAAGTTAGGGTTGATGGAGGTGAGATAAATGTCAGGAATATTTTCTATGACTCGAATTAACGTGCCTTTTAGACATTTGAATACCAATATTTTAGACATGTCAACATCCTGTAATGAATGAGTTTTTATGTTGTCAAGTCAAGATCTAGAATCAAAGAATTTAACCATTTAATCGAAGAAGTTTTAGTTTTAAGAGTGGTTGGGGTCAATAAAAATATTGATTTTTTTTTTCATCTAGGGATCTCTTAACCTGATCTCTTAAAAAATAGAAATTATGTCTATTAAATGCGAACATTCCCAAAGCTTTTTATCCCTTTCATAAATTCATTTTATTCATGTCTGCATAATTGGAAACTTTCATGAAAATATTATCCTTGGTAGATTTTGAAAAAATAAAAAATTTCTTAAAGGTTTTCGCTTGTTTAATAATGAAAAAGAATTCTCTCATTTCGCTAATCAACGAATATTGTGATGAAAAAATGAATGCAAACTTTTAGAACCAACATCCGCACAGAAATTTACTATAATAAATTATATTGAATGAAAATCTCTTAAAAATGGAAAAATGATCCAAATAATTTATAAAATTACTGTTAAACTACCTAGCATAATGGTTACATATCAGATGTAATAATAGAGATGATATATTGTTTTGACGTCGCTTTATGACAAAGAAATTTACATATAAATTGGTTTATTTTGTGGAAGAAAAATTGTCGGCATTCAAAACCATATATTTGTTTTTCAGTATGCTTACTCGCAATTTAGTTTCAGTATTGTACTAAACAAGCAAATTTTTGTTGTATACTGTATGTCAATTTTATGAGATTTAGGGGGAAATAAGGAAACAAGTTGCGTGTTTGGTAAACGTGTGCCGTTATCGAGTGATGTAAATGTCAACTAAAAAGGTTTTTTTATTTCTACATATTCCGTATTTTTATTGATCATGTCAATCGAAAAGTTATTGCCTGTGTTGATTAATGAGTAAAGTGAGGAAGGAAAAAAAAAGGTTTCAATTTTAATGTTAGTAGTGGCAAAATAAAATGTTGTGCAAGCAAATAAACTTCCTTATTAACTCTCACTTTTTGATTAGATTTTTGGGTTTTTCTCGTGTGCTGGTAATATTAAAAGGAAATGTTTGCACTATCTCTCAAAAAAACTTTCTGCTGTCAAAAAAAGTCTGACTTGTTCTATATGTATATTTAGAATTTCTTTTAAAAATACTTTAAAGCTCGAGGCATTGCAAAATTTTCGAGATTGCTCAACACAAAATTATTACTTTTAATCTTATTACTTTTATATTAGTCGTAAAATGGGAAATAAAATTATTCAGATTTTTTAACTGAGTGAGATATCAGTTAAATTAATAGTGACTAAAATTATAAAACAAAAACAAAGAAGAATAGTCAAATGCATCAAAAAATATATTTCTTTCTCCAATAAAATGAGAAGATTCAAGCTAAAAAGAGAACAAATGGAGAGAAAAAAATCCAGAGAAGAGATTGTTCAAAAAAGCTCAGATTTTAACACTAATTTTATTTTCTTTTAGGAAAACAACGAATGAATGTTAAAGCAATTAGCTTTTATCCCAAGGCGACAGTAAGGTATCATCAAACAGAAGTGTAAATGAGATATTGTAAATATTTTGAAAGAAAATTTCAATAATTTTTGGCCTGAAGGGAGGTGAATCTCAAGAAGGGTATAAACTGTTTTAACCATTTTTTTATGAACTTGCCTCATCAAACTTTGGCTTATCATAATTTAATAAAACTTCTCTTCTCTGCTCATATTGGGTTAACTTTTTTATCACTGCAAGGATACAAATTATTTGACACATGTGGTGAACAATTACCACATTCAATTCACTTTAGTTTCTCGTATTGTGACCTTTGGTGACCATTTCAGTAAATTATCACAGAAAGAAATAAAAAGAGGACATAAATCTTACGATTGTATAAAGCCAAATAAGACTTTAAAGTGGCCAAATAAAGTTTCTTTCTTTATTGCATGCTTCGAGAAAATTTAACAGCATTGCGTATATTATAAAACAGCAGTAAATTAATATTCGAGCGCAATCTGGAAAAAATGCATGGAATAAGCATAATTTGTTTGATGATATCAACCAAATATATGAACCAAAATATCCACTACAGTTAGCAACTAAGCTTTTAAAATTAAGTGCTCAAAAGTGAAGGATGTTTGTATAGCATTTCACCAGAAGTCTCAAACAAAGGATTTGAAAATTAATATTTGTATAAAAAGATATTCTCGCTATTTTGTGAAAATCTTTAATGAATGTAACTAAACGTCATGAAAATAAAAGCAAACCTTTCAGAAAGCTCTAGAACTTTCTCTTCTATGAAGAGAAATAATAACTGAAAACAAATTGTCATTGTAGTTTAATCATTGTTTTAACGAAATTGTCAAGTTGTTATTCTTGCGATGTATTCGGTTTGATTTTTCTTGATGAATGTTTTAATGCATCAAAGCGCATAAGAATTTTCGTGCAATTCTAAATTGTTTATCCTGGATATACCATATGCACATTACATTTTATGACGTTAATTAGTAAAGCATTTGTTTTTAAATGAATTGAAACAACTGGAATGGAAATTGAGGTAATATATCTATTTAAATAATTTTTATTTTTCTTTACTCATTACAAAACTTCTTTTATGCTGTGTAAAAGGAAGAAGGTAAAATCATATATATATTCTGACATCACAATATTTAGCATGCATACTATTTAAACAGACATTTAGATACTCTTCTCTTTTTGAATTAATAAATACTAGAAAAATAAATTAAATTATGATAAATTGAAGGATCTGAATTCGCTAATTACAACAATTGCAACAAATATTCCCATAACTCATTAATAGAATTAAATCGTAAAATAAATTTTCATTTGGTTCAGTTAACAGCATCATTATTGATGGAATTATGAATATATGCTTAAAATTGTGCTAATTTAATTAAGTTTACCATTTTATCATGTGCTTATATTGATCGTTTACTGAAATTCTCTTTATAGTTTCATATCCTAAAATTATACTGAAAGAGAAGGCAGCAGACTGAACAAGACGAGCTGAAAGACCTTTAAAAAACATATGAAATCTTTCTTCGATCCAAAGCTCAACAGCAGCTCTGGCAAATGAATCAAGTCGCTGCACTTGTAATCTTGCACGAATGATATCAAGTGGATTAGTAATTATTGTCGTAGTAAATCCTCCACTAGCACCCGCAACACATTGAATAAATAAATGTGATGTATTTGCTGGCAATATCTTAAATAGTTCATCTAAAGAAAATAAAAGTCACTAATTACTTTCCAAATATTTATGAATTTAATGAGGACATTTACCTTGATAAAAGTGATAGAAAGCCCACCAAAGAGCTGAGTTAGGCACATAAGCTAATAAACTAGCAGTATAGCCTCGATAATATCCTGCGATTCCATCTTTTCGATATATTTCTCTTGCTATCTGTATAGCAAGTTCTGTTTTCCTTAACTCTGTATTTATTCCTAATGGATTAATTATTTGACCATGTCTTAGTCCGTGAGCATTCATTCCCAAAACCTAATAAACAGAAATTAAAATACTGTAATTGTTTATTTATAAATAAAAAATTTAGCTTACCATCATATGCTGTGAGATGACATCAAATGGCACAATGATTGTTTGTCCAACTAAACTAGCTGCTCCACCTGCAACAATTGCTTTTGTACTGGAACCATATCCTCGTTGTCGTAACAAATATCTGACACCCTCATAAGTTGATATATAAAATACTCCCGAGACAATTTGAAATGATGATATCCAAAAGCCTCTATAGAGTCCTTTTACACCTTCAGTTTTGTAAATTTTACATGCACAATCTATCATCCCATTATAGACGTCATTCTTAAACTGAACTTGTAATTGTGTTTTGATGACGGTTAGTGGAAAAAGTGCACAACGTACCGAAAATGATGATAACATTGAGAGTGGGAAAAATTTCTAGAAGAAGATATATAAGAAAAATCATATGATGTGCGTGTAATTTCATAATTTTACTTACTTTTTTGTTCATCATTTCCCACTCAATGGTTTTTATGAATGGTGGTGGTGATTCCATAATAGATTTGTTAAAATGGATTTGATAAGTTTTTTTTAAAACACTCTTGTTTTTAGGTCAATGACATGTCATTGCCAAGATAAAGTCTACTCTTCTTTTTATTAAGTATTGAAAACAATTTTCTTCTTTCTGTCCTTGATTTTACTGTCGTATTTGTTTCTCACGGTGAAAGTGTAACTTTTTCAAGATCAAGTATATGTCAGTTAATCAAAATAATAATCTACTTAAAAATTATGCTTCAAAAATCTAGAATATTTTAAACATTTTGCTTGTGTTTCAAATTATGTCATACACTGAAAGAGTTTTAATACTTACATATTAAATTTGTTTATTTATAATAGTAAAATTTCTATTTTAAAGTTAAATAATCAAAGAATATGTTTTATAAACACAAATCTTTACATATTTTTTGTTTTATGTAAACTCTGTCATGAAAGTAATACATTTATGCTGTGGTAACTCATCATAAATTCAGATTTTTTGATAAAATTTTAAATATAATTTTTATTTGCACACTTTAAGGTTTTCTAAACAGTTTTATACGCAAGGCAATTTGTCTGAAACTACATATTCACACTGTCGTATTAATATTTGTTTTTTTCTTCTCCTTCTTAATTTTCTTTATTAAGGTCTTTTTTAATAAATTTTTAAGACCATTTTCAATTCCAAGTATGTTTTACATGTTTTTTCATTTCATAATATTTTTTTCTAGTGTAATAATTTATATTTATTATACCTGACTTTTGCTTTTTTTTTCAATGTTAAATAAAAAAATCCCAAAGATAATTTTTAAATATTCTTAAAGTTTGAACTTTATTTAATGATGTATAACATAACAAAATATGTTTAAGAAAGCGCTCATATTAAATTTGGACACATATTTCAAAGAAAAATAATTTACAGTAAAACTGTAGCACACCATGCACATGTAGAGCAATATAGAGCATTGTGTGAATATAAAAAAATGTTCTTAGCTTTCGCCTTTAATAAAAACTTTTGAATTTATTTCTACCGTTAAGTATTTTTATTCACAAAAATTAATTCAGTTTAAAATTTGTTAAAATTCCAGTTATAGCATTAAAATGGAATTATACGCATTCCGAAATTGAATAATGACATCAATTACGATATGATTTAATCTGAAAAATATATTTCTTTTGCATTTTAACTTATAATTTTTAATAAAAATAATAAAGGTACAAATAATATCAATGAAAGTTCCTTTTTGATTGCTTTACCTTTTTGCCATGAATTTAGTTTGAATTCCTCTCTTAATTTTATCCAAAAGTCTGACCTTTCAGTCAAAAAATTTTCTTTCAATTGAAAGAGACTTTGAGAATTTCCATTTTCATTTCCAATTTGAAGGTATTTCATTGAGGTTCCAGAAGCGGTAGGCCATTGTGGCAGAGAAGGTATATTGTCAGGATTTGGTTTTCTAAGAAAAATTATGACAAATGAATATGCCAAAAATTTCATTATAATAAATCTCACCCTGTTCTCGCAAAGTTCACCCACATCGCAGTCATCACCCTTATCAAATCTTTGTCATGTTGAGTAGGTACAGAACTGTAATAATATGATTTTCTTAGCGAAAACAGTGGAATCAAGTCGTCAACGTGACATGTTCCATAAAAGTCTTTCGATTGACTGAAACTTGCTGTGCTTTTGTGTGTGAAATAGAAAACATATGTATTGACATTTCTACCTAGTTCAAATCTATTTTTCAAGCTTTCAAACATTCCAATAAACCATCCGTCTGTTTTTTGAGAAAAAAATGTCATGCATATTTTTATAAATAAGAAATTATTATACTTATCCTTACCTGTCCACAACTGTATTAAAAAAATTAAATTTGAATTAAGATTCAATAATTTTAAAAATCTCTGATAATAGACTTACATCAATCAAATCTTTTGGTTCTCGCATTCTTTCGGAAACTGTTATGTTGCCGAAATAAAAATCATTAATTTTCTTTGTGATTTCATTTTGTTCATTCTCGTTTAAGTGATTATATAGGAATGAATCAGGAAGAATAGTATCCCAACCACTTAATAATTCATCAGTAAAGTCCTTACTATCGATAATAGCTTATTTTATAAAATAAATTCAATTAACCTTTATTTCCAAATTAAAAAGAAATGACTTACCACCAACTTTTAAAAGGCCTTCTTCACTATTCATGCCAATTAGCCAAGGAATATCAACTGAATGATTAGCGAAAGAGCGCTCAGATATGAATGGTTCTTCATTTGATTCGAAATCTTCAACGACTGGTTGAAACAAAACCACTGGATCATTATCCCAAGTGTACATTTCAGTCGATGCTTCAATAAGTTTTTTAGCATCAACTTTTCTCAAGCACTCAATAAGTTCTTTTGTGTCTTCATCATTTGATTGCGTACAATTAACCTGTTCAGCTATGAATAATGCTTTCTTTCTTGCATCTCCTTTTCTTTCCGGGTCTGACCAACAGGTATTTAAAGTTCCACTGTGGGAAATTGCTCGATGAAAAAGATTTTTTGACATTGGACTAAACATATGATAATTCACTGAAGCTCCACCAGCAGACTCTGTATTGAAATTGATAACAAGAAATTTTTAAAGTACTCCCTATTAAAGTTGTAATTGAATAGCTTCACAATCAATATTACATGATTGAAAAAAATATGTCAGATAATTGAATTGTTTATCACTCAAATACTTACCTCCCCATATTGTTACAGAGTTCTTATCACCACCAAAATATTCAATATTTTCTTGAACCCACTTGAGAGCAAATGATTGATCTTTTAACCCATAATTTCCCGGGCTACTCTCGTCTTCAGTTGATAGAAATCCCAAAGTTCCAACTCGATAGTTTGCTGCCACATAAACTATATCATGGTCAAGGAGATATTCCGGTGAGTAAGGATAAGCATCGCCTCTTATCCAACCCTATAATAACATATTTAATACACTTGTCATATATTTTTATAAGGATTAATTTTACCCCGCCATGAATGTAAAATAGTACTGGTAACTTTTTATCACTTTTCTCAGGTGCATATACATTGACATAAAGACAATCTTCTTCACCTTGAACAATCCATGAGCGTATGAACGGGTTAAATTGAAGGCATAAATTTGGCCTATCTTGAGTTGGTAGAACTCCGTCCCATGGTTTCGGTTTTTGTGCAGGCTTAAATCTTAAATCCCCCAAAGGTTTTTCAGCAAATGGTATTCCTATGAAAGATCTAATCGATCTCCCAGAATTGGACACCATATGACGACCCAAAATTTTTCCATCATTTATTTGAACTATCATATCATCTTTCTCCTCATATGATGCACAAAAATTTACAAAAAGTGTGACAATTAAAGTTTTTAAAAGTTTCATTTTAAGAAAGAAACGTGTAATCTATCCGATGACACTTGAATGACTAAAATTGTTACAGATTGAATTTCATATCATTCGTGTTCAAATATTAGATAAGGTATTATCAAAAGTGGTTCCTCTGAAATACTTAGATTAATTAAATACCAGCTTAACATTCAATTGGGGGTATTTTAATTAATATTTATTTTGATAAAGTATTTGTAATTTAAAAGCTTTTAAGTCCTATTTTCAATGATCGTTATTTTTAGCCATAAGATAAGAATTCAATGTAGTAAAACTTTTTATTAAACCTTTTTATCATTTGTTTATAAAAATATTTATTTACAATTCATCTCTGCCTTTTTTCTCATTTTTCCAAGCTCTCAGTCCATATTTTTCTCTGAGTTTTATCCAAAACTCTGCATGCTCTGTATAAAGGTCCTTTTTCATTTCAAGTAATTTGTCAGATTTTCCATTTTCATTTCCAATTTGCATGTAATCGAGTGGAAATTTTGATGCAGGAGTCCAATAAGGCAATTTGGATTTTTTACTCCATTCAGGTGTTGGATTTCTGAAAATCAGAAAATATTATATTAAAATTTTTTTCATTCAAAAATGCAGCAAAAAGTTTCAGATATGAAGGTTACATACCCAGTAGTTGCAAAATTAACCCAAAGCTTTGTCATAAGTTTTCGCAATTTTGTATCCTCGTTTGTGGGGATTGAGTTGTAATATTGTGGAGTATTGTGTCGTATTGGGAATAGATAAAGCAAATCATCTCCATGGCACGTTCCAAAAAATTTCTCTCGATTAGCACCTAATATTTCTGAAAAGCTTATCGAACCTTTATGTGAAAACAAATATACATAAGTATTGTCACGGTTATTGCCCTCTAATCTTTGTTGCAAATTATCGATGATTCCATTTACCATCCATCCATCAGACCACATCTAAAATATGATTTAATTAAAAATTCTAGGAATGCGTTTTCTAAACATAATAAAATTTATTTACCGATGTTAAATTTTCCTTGTATTCTCCTAGAAAACCAAGTTTATAGTAGAAACCATAAATTGCGACATTTATTTCGGTTATTTCCTGTTCTGATAGATGATCATAGTAAAATGATGTTGGAATTATAGTTTCCCAATTTTGTGCTAAATCGTTTGTTAGTTTTAGGCTGTTAAGAATTCCTTAAAATAGAAATGAGCATATTTTTAAATATATATATTTGGCATTTTTTTAGCATAAAAAATAAAATATTTTGTGAGAGCTAATGTATATGTTCATACATATTTTAACATATGTATAGGTCCTTGATTTTTTTTTATCAAACGTATAATACACATCAAAGAAAAAGGTAGACGACCCTTTTATTCTTTTCCCGCTGGTATATGTTTATGAATATCAAACGAATTGCATTAAAATTTACATACCTGCTGTTTTAAAAATTCCTTCTTCACTATTTATTCCAAGAAGCCATGGAATATCTAATGAAAATTTTTTATAATTCAAGTCCATAATAAATGGCTCTTCTTCAAGTTCAGAAGATTCAACAACTGGTCCAAATGGAACGAGTGGATCAAAATCCCATTCCTTTAAAGAAAAATTATAAAAAAAGAAATCAGAAATATTTTTCACCTGAGATAGTCGACCTTTGTAATAGTCATTACCAAAAAGTCTCCAACAGAAGCAATAATTTCTTCAGCTGGTACATTTCTTAAGCATTCAACCATTTCTCTAATTGTACTGCCAGAAATAGGACAATTCATCTTATCTGCAAGTCTAATTGCCTTCATTTTTGCTAATCCCTGTCTGTGTGGTTCTGCCCAAACATCCATTACGTTTCCTGATTGTGATATAGCGCGATGAAATAACCCTCGAGACATTGGAGAAAACATATGATAATTAACAGATGCGGCACCTAAAATTTTATCGATCAAACCCTTTTTTGGACATTAAGGTGAGAAGCCAAATTAAATACCATTACCTGCATTTTCACCGAAGATAGTTACAGAGTTTCCATCGCCACCAAATTTTTCAATATTCATTTGGACCCATTCAAGCATCATTAATTGATCTTTTAAACCAAAATTTCCTGAACAATACTCATCTTCTGTTGAAAGAAAGCCTAACGGTCCCAAGCGATAATTTCCAGTAACAAGAACAATATCATGTTCCAAAATATATTCTGGGCCGTACAAACTATGACCAGAATGCCCTTCAACAAAACCCTAATATCAATCAAAAAAATACCAATTATTGTTTTCATGCTGGTAATTAATGAAAACATAAAATTAATACATACGCCTCCATGGAACCACACCATAACATTAAGCTTCTTGAAATTTTTTTCTGTTATATTTATCTGTAATTGTATTTTGAGTAAGATAATATGCTATCATCTAACCAATACATACATTTGGTGTATAAACATTTAAGTATAAGCAATCTTCCTGTCCTATAACGCGTTTTTTAGTTCGATCATAAATATTTATTTGGGTACACATGGGTGGTTCATTATGGGCTAATAATGAATCTTGGAACCATGGTGTTGGTTTCTTAGCTGCTTTGAATCTCAACTCTCCGATTGGTGGAGCAGCATATGGAAGTCCTAGAAAGGCACGAATTCCTCTTCCGGAAATTGATGTCATGTATCTTCCAATAATTTTTCCATCATCGATACGAACTTTAAGATTTTCAGCTGTCCTTGCTCCACAAAAATCACTTAGAATCAAAAATAAAAAAAACAGAAATAAAAACTTCATTTCTTCACTCTATTAAGTTTAAAATATGACTGAATATGTATGAACGAAGACATACTTTAATATATTGAAATGCACATACAATCTTATCTTTATTTTTTTTAGAAAAATAAATACCACGAAAGATTATAAAGTTAATTGACAAGCTTGATTAAAGGTACTAAGTCACAAATACTGCTTATATTTTAGTAATTTTTGGCAGGAAAAGAAAAAAAATTTAAATGATATATGGATAGTGAAATAAACTGACTTAGAATTGACTCTTTTAACTCTTACATAATATGTCTCTTTCATTTGTATTGTTGTGTATTGATCAGATTATTTTAAATGCTTAGTCATTCATAAGAGACTTTAAGGATTGGGTATAAAATAACATTACCTTATTTTTTTTTGACTGAATCTAATAATTTTAGGTTAAGAATTTTTCCTGTTTTTTATCCTACAAAAGTGTGTCTTTTATTAGTTATTGAACAACTGAATGATTAAATGCAGATAAATAAGAATCTAATTTCAAAATACAGTAAAGCAAAAATGAAAAAATAAATAGAACTGTAAACAAGAAAGAAAGACATGGCAACAAAGAAAGTCATTTTAATCATAAAAAGAAATGTTGGATGTGAAATTGGATGAAAAGAAGCTCAATCGTTTGGAAAATGAGGAAAATTGATTCTACTATCCAACAGATGTTTGAATTAATCAGCTTATATAAAATATATGTTCACACATTAATGAATATATGAGGAAACTAAGTGAACAACTTATTGATTTTTAAATTAATTAAGAATATCTCAACTGTAGAATTAGGTAGTTTTAAAATATGTGGAAATTAAATTTTTTAAAATGCTGGTATCTCCTTTTTGAAATGAGATAAAAATGACGTGGAAAGAAATTTACAATATTTCTTCTCATGTCTGCTAAGATGTTTACATTTATATAATAACAGTGATAATATTTAACATCTCATCTTTGGTGGAATGCTTAATGTAAAAATGAACGCTTTTATTTTTTAACAAATTTCTTTATATTTACGCATTTTTAAAATGCTGAGCAAGCATAACAGCAACATATTTTCATCTGCTAATGGATACTTAATATTAAGTATAAGTCTTACTCACAAATGCAATTTGTTATACAAATTTCACATTCTGCCTCAAAAATTTGCAAAACATAAAATAATTTTGTAACAGTATAATATTTAATTCAATTTTCAGACACGAAAATTTTCAACAACCGTTATTGTTAATTTTTAACAACCGTTATTATAGTAGAATTATATCATTGAGCATCTACTTGGGAAAAAAAACAAGAAAATAAAATTAAATGTGAGTTCATATATTCAATAAATTTTTATTAAGCATATTCGCATTACCTAAAACGTTTTTCGCTAGTAAAAGTTTATTACCAAGTATCTAGAATTGCTCATTGAATGAAGTTTTCATATATAGGTTTCAAAGTATCTTTGAAAATGTCCTTGCAAGAAAATTAAAAATCCAAAAAGTTTTAAAGCTTCTTTCTCTGTATATTTAAAGGTTTTTACATTTTATACATCTGCCTCAATGATCTGCTTTTACCGGTGCTCATGCAGATAGAGCATAGATAAAAAGTACGAACATATATGTATGAAAAAATAAAAGTCTTTAATATATGAGATCATAATAAAAACTCGCACATATGTCTTTGAAGCATATTCACATGATTTCGTTTTCATCTAACATGAAGGATATAATATAAATGCTTTTTTCATGTTTGGAAAAAAACGCATAAAATTCCTTTTTATGTATGTTTAAATAGAAAACATGGATCTACGAAGTCAGTTGTAGGCCATCAAATGCAATGCAATAATAACACATCCAAAATGGGATATATCTTATCAATTCAAACTGGAATCTAGCTACTAGAACATGAAAAGAACAACCATTGCAAAAAAAGACATTTACAGATTCGAATCACGAACAATAATCGCATAATAGTTTGTCAGATACCACATTACTGTCTTAAAATCAGAATTGAAAAAATTAGATTGCATATAGTTTTAAGAAGAAGCAGAAAAATAAATTCGTTTTTTATTGAAAACGATATGGAATGATAAAATCGTTTAAAATGTTGAAAATTGTGCGCTCACATAAAAATGAAATCAGCCTAAATAAGCCATTTAAACCAAAATTTTTTTTGGAACTCTGTGTAAAACGGTTGTACAAACATTTCTAAATCATTTTGAACAGCTTCGAAGCTTGGAGCAGCTTTTAATTTGAAAAATTTGAAATCCCATACAAAATAGTGATTTTCATATTTTTAAATATTTGGACACAGTTTTAATATAAAATTTGATATTTGCTTTACTGTTTCAAAAGAAATTCAAGTTATAAAAATCATTGGAAGTGCTTTAAAAATTGATTTTAAAATTTCTTGATTGTAAATGTTAAAATTTGTGCGAAATTTTTTTACAAATTTTGAAATTTGTGCGCTTTTTGTCGTAGAAAGCGATGGGAATTTTTGTCAACAACAAATATTATTTACGTATGAAATTCATGTTTTTATAGAGTTTTACGAAGAATAGCATAAATGGAACTACTGAAAGTCAAAAACTGATAACAGCTGATAAAAATGAAAAACGTGGATCATTTAAAATTTTAGATAAAAATAAAAAAAATGCAAAAGACTTCAAGAATGTCCATACATTCAAAAAGTATATCCTGTTTAGTGTTTAATTTCAGATCTTTAAATAAAAACATTTTGATTTTCTAATTCTTTCCTAATTCCTAATTTTAACGGATGTTCCTTTGACGGTTGTAAACTCGCCCAGTTCAAACTGAGTTGAATCTTGAATCTTGCATTATTTCTTGAGGAAAAGGTTTGAAACAAATCAGCTTTATGTTCTTAATTTCATTTAAAGTTTATTCAAAGTAGTTCCTTCAGAAAAAATATCAATTTCTGTTCCAAAAATATGTAAATAAAATGTTTGTTTACATTTAAGAATTGCAATTATGTCAAAGATTGCTATCAAAAAAACGCACAAATTTCAACATTTTTTCGCACAAATTTTAAAATTTTCCGCACAAATTTCAACATTTGATCGAAAATGTCAAAAATCTCTTCCCATAAGCAGAATATCCTTCAAAAACATTATTAACTGAAAATTCCCACAATTATTGATCTTTTGAGCCCATTAGCAAATTTTCATTATCAGTCATTAGCATGTTATTTGCAAATCAAATCTCCATGTGCAAAAGCACACAAAATTTCAATATGTTTTACCCTATTTTATTAAAAAAAAAAATGGAAAATTGAGATCGAAACTAGTGTATCGGGTAGAAACCCAATGCGGATTATATTCACACCGTACTATCATAAGTCTTATGGATAGACCAAGATTTTCCCATCATAAGTATGAAGGTATGAAGCTTGATAAGTCAACTAAGCTTCGCTCAGCATAAGTTTGAAGTTATAAAGCTATCGCGTAAGCTGAGCTACGCTCAGCATAAGTTTGAAGATATGAAGCTAGAGAGGCAGCTGAGCTTCGCTCAGCATAAGTTTGAAGTTATAAAGCTATCGCGTAAGCTGAGCTACGCTCAGCATAAGTTTGAAGATATAAAGCTAGAGTGTCAGCTGAGCTACGCTCAGCATAAGTTTGAAGATATGAAGCTAGAGAGGCAGTGGAGCTTCGCTCAGCATAAAAGGTATAAAGGTATAAAGCTTGACGAATATGCCAAATATTCTTTAAAAGTTTTTTAAAAAAATTTTCATCCAAAGTTGAATTTTATAAAAATCACAGTCAACTTTTGTTTTAAAAAATTCGTAAGAAAGGAAAGTTTTTTGCCATTTCTGAAGCAACGGCTGTTCCTACTTTGCCCAAAAACAATACAGCTCTTCTATAGAGCAGCACGGATCAAATGTAAAAAACTAGAAGTCTCTACGATGTCTCGTTATTGAGATTTCTTGCTGATTAACTTGCTTGCTTGCTTGCTTGTTTGCTTACAGAAAGCGTATTTTGCGATTTTCTCAGCAATGCCACAACCAATTTGAAATCTGTTTTTTTAAAATGATGTAAAATTTCAGGCACAAACTTTTCTTCTTGCCCTTTTATAACCTATTTTGCTTTGTTATATTCACACCGTTTTCACGTGTGAATCTATTGGTTTTGTTCAGATTGAAAAATCAGTTTTTCGCATTTTGTGAGAAAACAAAGCAAAATTGGTTATAAAAGGGCAAGAAGAAAAGTTTGTGCCTGAAATTTTACATCATTTTCAAAAAACAGATTTCAAATTGGTTGTGGCATTGCTGAGAAAATCGCAAAATACGCTTTCTGTAAGCAAACAAGCAAGCAAGCAAGCAAGCAAGCAAGTTAATCAGCAAGAAATCTCAATAACGAGACATCGTAGAGACTTCTAGTTTTTTACATTTGATCCGTGCTGCTCTATAGAAGAGCTGTACTGTTTTTGGGCAAGGTAGGAACAGCCGTTGCTTCAGAAATGGCAAAAAACTTTCCTTTCTTACGAATTTTTTAAAACAAAAGTTGACTGTGATTTTTATAAAATTCAACTTTGGATGAAAATTTTTTTTAAAAAACTTTTAAAGAATATTTGGCATATTTGTCAAGCTTTATACCTTCAAACTTATGCTGAGCGTAGCTCAGCTGACTCGATAGCTTTATATCTTCAAACTTATGCTGAGCGTAGCTCAGCTTACGCGATAGCTTTATAACTTCAACTTATGCTGAGCGAAGCTCAGCTGCCTCCATAGCTTCATATCTTCAAACTTATGCTGAGCGTAGCTCAGCTTACGCGATAGCTTTATAACTTCAAACTTATGCTGAGCGAAGCTTAGTTGACTTATCAAGCTTCATACCTTCATACTTATGATGGGCAAATCTTGGTCTATCCATAAGACTTATGATAGTACGGTGTGAATATAATCCGCATTGGGTTTCTACCCGATACACTAGTTTTCTCACAAAATGCGAAAAACTGATTTTTCAATCTGAACAAAACCAATAGATTCACACG